GATGATTGTGTTTGGAAGTAACTCGAAATCTCAACAGAGTTTATCCTCAGAAATCATTGGGGATCTTAGCAATCAGGACTGCAATGCTGAGGAAAATGTCAATTAAAAACCTTTTTTTTTTTAAACCTCTTTTGTTTGACTATATGCTTTTGTTGCTGTGATCAAACAACTATAACAAACAACCCAAAGATTCGTAATTTTGCCAGAAAGCACTATGTTAGGGGTAGGTCACCAGAGATGTGGTGGATGCAGGTAATTATTACTGAAAACTATGGGTAGCTGTAAGAAGAATATCATTCAGAAGAAGCATTCATAATGGATAAGGGTAGAATTAAATACTGTTATTGAAGAGATTGACATATAAGGCTTAGTATTTCAACTACATGGGGTGTAAAAGAATGCCACACTTGTATTGCCTAAAAAGTTTACAGCAAATGCAACATTATCTGTTTCAAAGTACTAATAATAATAATAATAATAATAATAATAATAATAATAATAATAATAATAATAAAAATCACAGAAAATTGTTTAACCTAATTCAGTAACAGATACAGCATTTTCAAAGGATAAATCACAAATTAACTAAGGTGAAACAACATCTGGAAGCCAGTTTGTTTTCAGAGTGTCCAACACTTTATCATCTCCAAGGTATTTTAGTAATAATTTACATTCTTCATTGTTGGCATCGCAAAGTGTCTCTTGGTTCACATGCTGGACTAGAGATTTTGTGTCCTGTAGAATCTGTTAAGAGTAAAAATGAAGTTTTGATTGGTAACCTTGAAGAACTTTCAAAATTGAGCAAACAAATAAAAGGGAGAAAAAATATCCCAATTTGTTACATAAAAAAAAGGTAATGAAAAGCAACTGGCTGTCAACATTGAGAATCTGTTCACAGTTGCAAAATTTCATATTTCATATCATTCTTGCTTAAAAACTAGACATTCTACATTAAGCTTGACTTTCCCCTTTTCCCACACCTCCCCCACCCCTCCCCCCAAATAAAACAACAAAATGAACCCTTTCACTTCCAGAGGGTACAATTTCTGCTTATGACACAATGCACTGTTTAGCTTAAATGTGACGAGAAAAAGGAAATCTATCTACAGATATTTGCAACTGGACCCTTTTAATGAACCTTTTTCAAAAATTATAAGACAGAGAGTATATTATTTCAGAGGGTCACTTGTGAGACAATTTCAGTCCAATTGGTGCCCATATCTGTTTCAATATTGAGCCTTGACCCTACTGGTTATTGTTCACAAGTACAAATAAACTTCAGAGACTGGAAAAATAATAATCCGTGGTCACTTGGCAATGACATGATGAAGCTAATTTTGAACCCCAGTGGTGGGAATATGATCTTGTAACAATGTAAAATTTTTAGGACTAATCAATAATAATAAAAGGTGGGTCATTAGTAAGGAAAATTAACTTTTAGATTGTGTAAGCATGCATTAGTCTTCCTGAGCACCTAATGCCCTCATCCGCACATTACTATGACAATACGTGGTAGATAACTACAGTATTTACCTTATTTGACATAGCAGCCATTACTTTAACTCTGTTGTCAACTTGTTCCAAGAAATTATCTGGTTTGAAAACTTCCATCACCAGTCCCTTTTCCCATGCTTGGGTGGCAGCCATCTTTTGATTCAATAAGAGCATTGACAGTCCCTGCAAGAAACATAGCTGACTGAAAAAAATGTACTACACAATAGGTAGATAAATAACCAGATGAAACAAGTAAAAATTTGTTTTCTGCCTTCACTGTCAGAGCTTTGCTGTGCTATGTACATTCACTCCGACGAAGGGCTAACGCTTGAAACGTCAGCTTTTGTAATCGTTACAGTGGCCAATTTACAATTTCAACTTTGATAATATATCCAAATTATTATGTACATTTAACTTGGAAACAGAGAATTAAAACCATATAATGGTTTCCAGCAAGGCCTGAAGCTAGTGTATAAATTAAAAGTATGTGTCCAAGCTTTCAGCAATAACCAGCATCATCAAGGATGAATGCTGTCTTAAATCAAAGCTTCAAAACTTTTCATAATTTTCTAGTAGAGTACAGTATGGCCTCACTGGAAACTTTACAGTCATTTCAAAATGCAATTGAGAAAAACATAAAAAGTTAAGATCATTTAAAGATCCAAAGTCTACAAGCTGGAGTATCTTGGTGTCTAAAAATCATACAAATGAAAGTTGCAAATTTTTAAAATTGGTTTTGCTGATCAGGTTAAAGCACCTACCCCAGTTTTTCCCAATAGGGAAGGTAAAAGGGAAGACAAACAACCAATGGGTGGACGACCCCATTGGGTAAAACATGTCTGAAAAGTTGCCTAAAAAAGGGAAAATACTGTTAGAAAGATCAGCATTTCAAATAATCACTATCTTTAGTATACCAGTTTACCATACTATGAAAGTTTCTTTTGCATGGTAACTGGGTGGTGCAGCAACAAGATCCTGGCCAGTGGGCCCTTTTCTAAAAGGTTCAGGTAAGTTAATAGGCCTGTGAAGCTAAACAATTTTCATTAAAGATAGGGGTATCCAAAGTTTTGAAAATTATATAATAAAACTATCAGGTAGAGGAACAAAGTTCCAGGACCTGTTTCTCTATTCCTTAAAGTTTAATTTTAAAATATGCCTTTGGGCCCTTTAAGTTACCAGAACTTCTAAGAAATGGGTCCCATGGCCCTTAACCACCAAGAAAAAAGTTTAATCACAACTGTCTCAGCTTTAAACTAAAATACTGGTGATGAGAAATGCAAGGCTACAAATATCAAGACTCTTAAAATCATGTGAGTTATATTTGACAAACCTTGTTGCTTGCATACACTATGTCACATAAACTGAGGAGTGCTGTGCCAAATCCCAATGCATTACCATTTACAGCTGCTACAAGAACCTTTGGGAAACTGATCAAAAGTTCAACCAATAGTCTGTTGAAAATAATTGG